TTTTTTTTAAATAGGAAAGTAAAATCATGTGATATCTGGAATTTTCTCTTAAATATTCTACGAAAAACTTAGGTGGAGGCTTGAAAACAAATTTGCAACACTGTTGAAGCTGGGTAATGAGTTCATGGAGGTTCATTATGCTATTCTAACTTTTCTGTACCTTTGATATTTTCCGTAATAAAAAGTTATAAAAAGAATGAAAAATATAATTATTTTCCTCTAATTTTCTAAAGAAAATTCTACAGAGAATGACAAAGCTTAAAATTATCACCACTTCTGAGTAATTCACTTATTCAGTTAATTCAACGAACATTTTATTAAATTCTTAGAACGTGCTGGGTACTGTTCTAGGTCCTGGGAGTATAGCAGAGGACAAGGCAGTTACAGACCCTGCTTTCTTTCACTGTTTGTATACTGAAGTCACAGAAGACAGAAAATAAGTGAAAAAAAAAATCAAAAAGACATTTCAAGAAATGATAAGTTCAATAAAGAAAATGAAACAAGTACTGGGATAGAGTGTGACTGGGGAGGGGAAGGACCACTTCAGATAAGATCACTGGTGTGCTGATAAGCAGGCTCTCCAGAATTAAAACAAACAAACCTCTGATTTGGAGTATCTGACAATGGATGGTTTTGGGAAGAGATGCACACGATTGGCTCTCAGGAGCTAATACGAGCTGGCTGGAGCACGCTCCTGGCATAGGATGGTAAGGAAAAGTCTGCATTTCAGGCAGAGGGAATATAGCAATTCTAAAAGGTCCTAAAGCAGAAACAATTTTAGTGGATTCATAAAGCAGAAAGGACAATATTGGCTGAAGTAGAGTGAGGAAAGGAGAGAGTATTTAAAAAGATAGAAAGGAGCCAGACCATGTAGTTATGGAGCAAATGGAGATCTTCTAAATCCATTTATTGAATAGTCCCTCCTTTCTGACTGATCTAGAAAATAACAACTCGATGGGATCGGGGCACGGAAGAGAGTAATGTGAGAGTGTGCTAATGTTCTTTATTTGGGGAGCAGGGATAATATAAATAGCATTTTTGTTAAAGAAGAGATTATAAAGCAGCAGGAAAAGTGGGACAAACGGAAATAATAATTTAGGATGGCAGAATGGTTCAAATAGATCAACAATATCAACAATTATAATAATGTAAATAGACTAAATTCACTAAAGATTGACAGATTGGATTAAATAACAAAATCTAGACATACACTGCTTATAAAAGACACAATAAGCCGGGTGGGGTGGTTCACGCCTGTAATCCTAGCAATTTGGGGGACCAAGGTGGAAGGATCATTTCAAGCCAGGAGTTTGAGACTAGTCTGGGCAGCATAGTGAGACTGTCTCTACAAAAAAAAAAAAAAAAAAAAAAAGAAAAAGAAAAAAAAAAGATATATCAACCAATTGCGAGGTGTGAATCTCGTTAGGATCCTGACTCCTGACTAAACAAATCAAATGCGAAAAGACATTTTTGGTTGGGTGTGATGACTCATGGATATTGGAAGGCCCAGGCAGCAGGATCGCCTGAGCCCAGGAATTCGAGACCAGCCTGGGCAACATAGCAAGACCCCACCTCTACAAAAAATTTAAAAATCAGCCAGGCCACTCTGGGAAGCTGAGGCAGGAGGACTGCCTGTGCTCAGGAGTTCGAGACCAGCCTGAGCAAAAGTCCCTACATCTCTACAAAAAAAATAGAAAAATCAGCTGGGCATCGTGGTACACAGGTGTAGTCCCAGTTACACAGGAGGCTAAAGCAGGAGGATTGCTTGAGCCCAGGAGTTGAAGGCTGCAGTGAGCTTTATGATGCTACTACATTCTACCCAGGGTGACAGAGCAAGACTCTGTCTCAAAAAAAAA